ATCACTTTAGAGATGGATAGTGCAAGATCTATATGGTGGAGCTCTATAGTAGAGATCTATAGTGGAGATCTATAGTGGAGACCTATGTAGGCATTGTTCTGTGCCTGTCTGAGCCTCAGAAACAATGATGTGGCTTCTTACTGCTTAATGAATGAGCTCTCACTGTGTCCTCCCCATCTGAACATTGGTTCCTAGTACCTAGTTCCATTTCCCATGGAAACAACTATCTCATATGATGCTGTGTCCTGTGAGTCTGTCTCAGAACCACATTTTTAATATTCTGGACTTCTGAGCTCTTGCAAAAAAAGGGGGCGGGTGTTCCTAGCAGAAAATGCTCTTTGGAGACTGCTAAGGGACTTCTGTGGGCTTCACGAATCATTTTTGTAGAGACACCACCTGAATATGCTCTCCTAACCTTGCCATTCTCACAAAGATGGCTAATGCGATAAGGAAAACATGGGCCTTCCTTGTTCGTGATGAGGTCACCCGAATTTAACTCCTTGAGTCTTTGGTAAGTGTCTGTATTTCATTCAATACTGTGTAGAGCGTGGATGAAACAGAAGAAATTATTTCAGCCCTGGTAGGCCTTCAGATCCAATAGCTGGCAATAGATGGTCTATGAAAGGGCTCTACAGTTCAAGCTGTCTCCAGTGCTGTGGGAATCGGTGAGCTAACAAGTGGTGGTAGGTGAGGGAGGTAGGGAAGGGTCCAAGTCTAGTTTGCAGGACCCAGAAGGACGTAAAGCTTTGAACTGGGTGGGCACTGTAGGCAGCCATTTACACTCGTGTAAGGAACACAAAATCCCCCAGATACAAGCCTGCTGCGATCATAGAGACTTCTGCCCTGGAAAGTCATTGGTAAACCCCAAAGATGTCACAGTGACATTAAACATTGGTATCTTGAAACTCCATAATTTGTCTAAGTTAACCTAATTTTCTAGAAAGTTCAAAAAAGATGAGGAGATACTCAGTAGTTAAGAGTGCTTACTGACCTTGCAGAGGACTCGGGTTTAGCCCCTAGCACCCATCTGGTGGCTCACAACCACCTGCAACCCTAGTTCCAGGGGATCCAGTGTTCTCTTTTGGCCTCCACAGGCTCCTGAGCACATATGCCACACATGAACTCATACAAGCGCACACACACTGTAACACCCGATTCTGTGTTACACCCTCGGTACAGTTCACGCGCCACTGTACCGTACACGAGTCAGGCAAGGGCCTGGAGATTGAAAGAACACACAAAGAGACCTGGGTCATTCGTAAGGAGATCAGCCGAATGCCGTTTATTCAACCTTGGGGAAATCCTTTTATACCTAGCTGCTGCACAAGGATTTCTGCCCAGGCAGGTGGGAAACTACCATACCAAGGATGGAGTCAATGCCCTAGAGCTAATCACCAGGCAGAAGCAGGGGGAGCACAGGAACAAACAGAATACTTTAGTTAGCTGACCAGAAACTGTCCTCAAGATGAACCCCAGGAACAAGGGTAGGCCCGGGCCCTACTATACACATAAATAAATCTTTTAAAAAATATTTTTTTTAAAGCTAATTCGTGCCTGTCTGATATCTGTGAGCACTATCAGCTTCTCCCAGCACTCTGCGCTGTCCACAGACTTGCAGGCCTCTGCTGCATTTGTCCCCAAACAGTGGTATGGTTTGTGTGTGGGCTGTCACACTGGGAAGAGCCCATCCACGATCCATATAGCATTTTCTGGTTTATACATTCATCTCTCCTCAGTTACACCATGAACTGTGAGGGAGCTCTCATTCCACCCGTGGATAGTGACAAAGACTCGCCAATAAAAGCAATGAAACACTCAGGTTGAGGTTTTCCTTCATGTTCATACACACCAGCATTTCTCAAACTTGATTAATGGATTTATACCTTTAAAGGAAAAAAAAAATCTCACAGGTCCCCTTCACAATAGAAAGTCTGAATACTTTTACTGTGCTTACTAACAAATTCTCATATACATACATTTTTTCACCGCAAGAATTTCTAAATAGGCTCATACATACTTCCAATAAGCCTGTTTGCCTTATAGATTCAAAACCAAAGTTACACATTAAACACAGGTAAAACTATGAGATTAATTTTTTTTTGTTTTTGTTTTTGTTTTTTGTTTTCCGAGACAGGGTTTCTCTGTGGTTTTGGAGCCTGTCCTGGAACTAGCTCTTGTAAACCAGGCTGGTCTCGAACTCACAGAGATCCGCCTGCCTCTGCCTCCCAAGTGCTGGGATTAAAGGCGTGCGCCACCACCACCCGGCCTGAGATTAATTATTTTTGCACTAACAATGCTGGTGAGTTGGACATTCATTCCTAAGGCCCAGAGGCCTAGAAAGAACACTTTCTGACAGAAGATTGCAAGATAAGGTGTTGTCCCCTCAAGAGGGCTCCGTGCTCTGCCACTCAACATTTCTCGGTATAATCTCCTGGGTTGGGGCTCTGACTGTAGACCAGAGTGTGGGCAGGAAATCAGTAAGTGCTTTGTTCCCTAAACCCCAGCTCCTATCAGGAAACTCGGGAAGACACCCAGGAGAACTTGGAATCCCTTTCTCTCGGCGCTTAGGGGTCCTGACTTCAGTCTCTGTGATCTTCGCCTATGTATTTTTCACCAAATATGGTAAAGAGGGAGAGACTGTCCTAGACATTACTTTAAAAGAAGGAGAAAGACAAAGACCAACAGGTAGGAGGTTCACGCCCAGGTTCAGTCTTAGCTCAAGCTTAGAGCAGTATAATGGGGCTCCATACGCAAAATTAAATTTCCAGGAGCCATATTTAAAAAGCAGAAGGAAGAGGAGAATTCGTTTGTAATTATATATTTTATTTAACCCCCAAATATCTAAAGCATCATTTGGAAATGTGATGAATATTTCTAAATTAGACGAGATAGTTTACATTTTACGGTTCACATTGTCTGCAAAATCTGGTGTGTGTTTCAGACCCAGACCGGCAAATCCCACCTGGGATGAGGCTTAGGGCACCAGCGCTGCCGCAGCCACATGGAAAAAGTGGCTACTGTCCTGGGCAGCACGTGTCTCCAGGAGTCTGGACCTTCGGCTCCTGTCTTCTGTGGATCTCAGAAGGGAATCTAGTTCACTTTCCCCTTTGAAATTTGTTTTCTGTCGGATTGAATCTCAGTTTAGCAACCTGACCCATTTCCAACATCTATAGGCTCCTTTGTATTTTCTCTCCATCCCTGTGGTATTTGAAAATGTTCCCAATTGCCATAATTATGTTAAGTGACACCCAGATCTCAGTCCAGCCTCAGCTCAGTGTCGAGCTCCTCCAAATCAAGTCACGGCTCCTTTTTTATCATTACATTATACTTCATTTCCAGTCTGTAAGCTGTGTTCTACTTTCAACCAATTTGCATTAGTTCCTAAGACAAGTCCTATGGACTGCCCCAGCAAACAACAAACTCCATTTTATCTGTACCCATCTTTCTCCCAAGGGCTGGGGCTCTGGGCCAGTCTTAACCCCTTATGACCCATCTGGGAGGAAAGTGAGGTGGGGGTGAGGATTCCCAGGAGGCACAGGAGTTGAACTGTCTTTCCTGCCAATGTTTAACTTGAGCCTTTGGAGAGAGACAAGCTCACTTCTTTCTCTCTTCATTCTGGGCCTGTAAAAGAAAACCACTCACAGGTAAATCCAGCCTCCTCATTTCTCCAAGAGAGACGGGCGAAAGGCAGCGTCTTTTTAGATCCAGCCAGAAAGCAGTCCCGCATCATTTAATCGCAGATACTCCATCCCCAGCACAAAGAGCTCAGGCGATGTGGAAGGAGGGTCTTATTTTTTAAATCTTTGATCACACATGTATCTGCTCACCCTATTGTTTTGTTTTCAGAGGAAGTCCTTATTTTAGAAAATGAGACTTTGCTGTTAGTGCCTAAATGTTTCCATTTTCAAAGGCCCAGTGGCAGATTACCAGAAAAGGAAGGTTATCTTGGCCTAGGTGCCAGGACGTGGCTTCCCAGGTGGGCAGGAGTTTCCTGAGGGCTTCCCCAGACCACAAAGTGTGAGGAGCCTGGCATTCTCTGAACCAGTCGTCCTGACGGACTCTGAGCTCAGCAGATCTGAAATGGCCAGCTAAAGAAAGAAGACTGACATTCATTGGGCCTCGGGGTGCCAGGGCATTTCAGCCTGTACTACCTGGAATTCTTTGGTGTCGCTGGGAAAATGTCTCCTTCCACCAAACGAGCCCCATCAGTCCCTTTGTTGGCTGTGGAGCCTTCACCATGTCCTGACAGGCATATTTTCCTTGGTGTCCAGATCATGAATCCTAAGTTCCTAGTACATCTTATTATAAATGTCACCTCACTTTCTGAGACTATCAGCCTTGAATCCCCCATAGAAGTTGGAGGCAGAGGCAGGCGGATCTCTGTGAGTTTGAGACCAGCCTACTCTATAAGAGCTAGTTCCAGGACAGGCTCCAAAACCACAGAGAAACCCTGTCTCGAAAAACCAAAAAAAAAAAAAAAGAAGTTGGTACTTTGCCTCATTTGTAAATAAACGTCTTGAACAAGTGAATGTTGGTCAAAATAACGATGAGAAATAAGCCCAGTGGCCTTTCTTATCATCTGCCTCGGCACCCGGAGCCACAACTTCTGCCTGAGCTCTTATAAGGAACGTAGTTTCCACAGCCACAAGAGGACTGGGCAAAGGACACCGCTCAGATCCCGCAGTTCAAGACCAGGTCAATGGGAATGCTGGGATTGTTTTTATTGTTTTGTTTTGTCTTAAAAAAAAAATCTAGGCTGGAGAGAGCTGGAAAGAGCACTTGCTGCTCCTGCGGAGGACCCGGGTTCGATTCACAGCACCCACACTGAGGTTCGCACTTGTCTCTAACTCCAGTTCCAGGAGGCGATACCCTCTTCCGACCTCTGCGAACGTGATCCATGTGTGGCACGCATGTATGCAGACCAGACAGTCATACGCATAAACTCAAAATTCGTTTCCAAACTTCCATTTATAATCAAGTTACAAGCTGTTTACCTTGGGTCTGTCACAGAGAAACGTAAGAGGAGGGTAGAAGAAAGGAAGTTTGAAAAGCAGTCGTCTTTCATTCATTAACTAAACCCAGACAGATGGACGGACAGACAGACAGACTGACTGACTGACAGACACACACACACACACACACACACACACACACACACACGGAGGAGAAGGGAAGGGAGGGAGGGAACTGTTTTCAGACAGTCTTTGCTAGGACGCTGAAGCTCTCTAGGCTTCGGTAGCTCAGGACGTTAAAGTAGTCACATGGTTCAGCATAGTCGTCTTCCTCTCCACAGAGGCCAGCAGGGGCAGCTTCTGTCTGGAAGGGGCTTTCAGGGGCCGAGAGACACCTGAGGCTCGCTTCCTGTGGCTCAGCTGCCGTTCTCCCAAGGTCACTTCCCATAGAATGGATTCTGGAAGACTTCTGGAGTAAATACAAAGGGATGTTACGAAAAAGTTGCTTCACAAATGGACAAATGGCACATTGTCAACACCTCTTCCTCCCTTACATGAACACTCACACATACATACACATACATACACAGGAGCAAACTTGGGTTTTTGTTTTTTTAGTTTTTAGAGACAGGGTTTCTCTGTGTAGCCTTGGCTGTCTTGGAACTCACCCTGTAGACCACGCTGGTCTTGAACTCACAGAGATCCACCTGCCTCTGCCTCCCAAGTGCTGGGAGTAAAGGCGTGTGCCATCACCACCAGCCAGCAAACTTGTGTTCTTATCAGTTCACAATCCTTAGCCTTTAGCCCTTAACTTCCCTGCTTGTTGTAGCTTTTTTTCTTATTAGTATTATTATTTTAAAATTATCATACAATTTATTTTGATCCTATTCTTTCCCCTCCCCCGGCTCCTTCCAGATCTTCCCCATTCCCTACCCAATCAACTGCTTGTTTCTTCTCTCTCAAAACAAACAAACAAAAGCATTAAGACAATACCAAACTCAAACAAAAAGCAGGCAAAAACCATAGAATTCATTTTATGTTGGCCAACTCCTCCTGGACCTGGAGCCTGCCCTGAAGTGTAGTTGACATATATCCCCAGTGTCACTTGGTTGGAGCAGAGAGCTTCTTTAGGGGTGGGGCTTTGTGTCCCCTTTCCCTTCTCCTCCTAACTCGGTTTCAACAGGAACGGCTGTAATGAATGTCATCCTGCAGCTTCTATTTCCTGGACAGCTGCCTTGCCTCCATCTTGTTTTCCCGCTCCTTACTGTTTGTTTCTTCCTTCTCTTTGGTCTCCTTGCCACCACTTTCTCCTCCCTCTTCTCCTCCTTTTGGCCCTCACCTTCAGCCAGCCTGGCACCTTTCTCTTTATAAACTGACTCTCCAAGCAGGGGACTCCCCAGGATTCTGCCCCCCTGGCTTTCTTACTCTCAACAGTCAGAATCACATCATCCACTGTAAGACTCCAAACAGGACCTGTCCTCTAAAGGCCCAAATGGCCCAAGACCTTAAGTACCCAGGATCTGTCCTGGGCTTCAGCCCACCTGCCCACTGACTCAGCATGGCCCATGAGAGAACCATAGCAAGCTTAAACTCAACTTGTCTCCACGGGCCTTGCCCCACATCTCCCACCCCACAATCTACTCCTGCCAACATTTTCCCTTCTGGCTAACAGCACAGCCCTTTCAGAAACATGGATGCCAATACCAAGTTCCAACTCCCCGCAACACCTGTGACAGCTAGTCTTCGTTGTCAACTTGACTACATCTGGAATTAACTAAAACTCAAGTGACTGGGTACACATGTGAGGGATTTTCCTTAATTAAATCATTCAAAGTGGGAGACCCACATTTAGATCTCGGTATTTTGAGGCGGAAAGTTCCACATTTCCTCTGGGCCTCACCTTCTGGTGACAGCCTATGTAAAGGGCATGGAAGAAGGAAGCTTACTCTCTTTGTCTGCTTGATCGTCCTCTTGCTGGAAAGTCCATTCTTCCTTGGCCTAAGAGCTGCTTTGGGATTCTATGCACTGAAGACCACCTGTAACATCCGGCCTTGTGGACTGAACAACTGCGTTTTTGAACTCTCCTTGGTAGACTTCTCTTGCTGGACTAGCTGGACCACAGCCTATAAGCTACTCTAATAAATCCCAGGAGATATATATCATACATATATAAATATAAAGTCCCATATGTATATATATGGAAATATATACTCACATATATTTATATATTACATAATATATATATACACACATAAGTGCTCTTCCTCTAGAGACCCCTGATTAGTACACACCCACCTAGTCTTACTCTATCCCTTCTTCATGGCATCTCTCTCACCAGCGAAGGGGAGGAAAAAGTCCTCTTCATTTTGGCTCACATTTCCTCTATCTGCTAGACTAACTTTCCACAAAGATTTTTCAAAAATAAAAATTGAATTTCATCATACTTCTGCTTAAAGCCCTTTAATGGCCTCTACTGTACACCAGAGGGACGCTCAGCCTAGAGAGAGCTATGATGAACACCTTGGGGGATTTGACTTTCAGGTGATTTAGGAATGATCTCAAATTATATAAAGTTTTATATAAAGGATATTCTTGCGGGGAGCAAATCAGTACTTCATCCCCTTTTCCAAAGGAATCCGTGAGAGCCCAGACCGTGTGCTCCAGCCATGCCCATCTCTCTGGCTGCAGCTTCCTCCCACTGTGTCTCACAACCCAGACACCCAGCGTCCGAGGCCCAGAGAGCTGCCACTCATGGCAACACTGCTGTGTGAGCACACAGTGAGCTCTGTCATCTCCACAGCAACTCTGCTGACGTGTCTGGTTTGGCATGAGCTGAGAGGCACGGGCAGAAACCCCTGAACCAAGGACACCACCACCAGTTGCTCAGGCTTGTCTCACTCTGCCTACACTCTCCTGGGATCACAGTGCCTTTGCTCTTGCAGCTTCTCTGTGAAGGCCAATTGGCCTGCCTTTCTGTCTTCACCAGGCTCAGAAACCCAAGTTCCCTAAGGGAAGTGCTATGTTCCTCTTTGGAACTCAGGACCCATATCAGGTATTCAATCTCTATGTCCTGGGACTGGAATAGTCATACATATCCAGTTGGACACACACATCCATTTGTAATACAGTCCCATAGAAAAGAATCTGGTTTTCCAAGTCAAGATATAATCCAGCACCCAGGAAACTAAAGTTGCATTCGTTGAGACCAGACAGCAGCAAAGTGTGTTCAGTGACATCAACCATAGAATACACACTAGAATGTCATCCTTGAGGGTTGCAGCAGTATAGGGAAGCTGGAGAACATCAGTTACAAGCAGGGTGGCAGAAGAAGTGCTTAATCACATTTCAAAATTGACCCACCTTCTATATCTAAATGACAAAATCACAGAGATCCAGGGACTTGGAAAATAGGAACACCCAAGCTCATGGAATCTCTTTTCACACCCATGGCTCCCAAGACAGAAAATGCTACCCGACTGGTGCCAAGCCCAAATGTACACCAGTTTAGGCAAGGAGATAGAGAAGGGAGGTTAGAAGGACCCTGTAGATGTGTTCAATGGACAGATGCCAAAAACTAAGGATGCTGCATCACTACAGGCCTTGAGGAGTTGAGCACTGAGAGACATCGTAGTCTTAGAATAACAAACACGTCATTGGTCTCCTCTGCCCATTCCTCCTCAGTAGAGGTGGCTAAACTTTAGCATGAGTGTGAAGAAGGGAATGGCTCTCATGACTCATGCTGGTGCTATGTTTAAAAGGACTCTGACATCCCTTGATACGATACAACCCATTTTTAATATGAATACTCAATTATTTCTCAAAGAGCTAATTATGACTTTTTGTGCTTGTGTGTTCTTATTCTCATTCTTGGTAAGGCTGGCCACTCTTTCTTTTTAATTTTAAGACTATTTTGAGCTCTAAAAGTCCTTTGGGAAATGCAAATATTCCTGAGACGGGTCCCTAAGCTGTTCCATTTCCATTCTACCCTACATGGAGACTCTATAATTGTAACCAGCATACAAAAAAATAGGTCTGAGATTAATGTACTAACATTATCCTAGAGAACCAAGTGAAACTACAGAAATTGCAACTGAGTCCTCTTGGGACAAACATTGCTTTCTAGTAGCATATTAGAAGAACACTGGAAAGCAGGGTTGGTAGAGTCATTGTCCAGTGTCTGACACATGTAACTTGTCACCGTACCTGTTTGGCAAATAACATTTATTCATATAATGCATATACATGTATAATAAGCACTTGCTTATACTATCTTAAGATATGCTCAAAATGTCTCCAGAAGATATGGCGTTCATGTTGAGCTTTCTTCCCTCTGACCTCAGCACAATAGGTGTTCTATACATCTGTCCTAGAGAAGTCAACATGATAGGGTGATGGAGTTCTGAAAAGTGCAGGGATGATCAAAGTCACTCCTTTCACCAGCCCTGTCCTTATAGGCTGCCTTTAGCATCATTCTCAGCAGCCGTTAGTTTAGAGCAGGTTCCCAGAATAGAGGCAGACATGTTAATTCTGGTGCAAGTGACCTGGGTTCTCAGAGGAAGGCTAGTGAAGGAACCTAGAGGCAAGGGAATGCAAGGCCAGCACCAGCATTACTGGCTTCCGTGGTGTCTCTCCTCCACAGACTGATGTTGAAGTAGGAGATGCTTCTGCAGAATGGGATCCCTAGCAACAGCCAGGAGAGGGGACCTCAGAATAGTAGAGAGCAGATGACAGTGTTTAAGAAACACAGTAGATACAGCTACAATGATGGAAACTAAGAGCACCTGCCCCGTGGGCATCTTAAGATAGCTCATACAGCACAGCACTCCTAGGGTAAATACAGATATATAGAGAAAGAACCTACTTGTATGGGATGTCCTTCTGTACATGTGTTGCTTTTATTGGTTGATGACTAAAGCTGTTTCGGCCAATGGCTTAGCAGAGTAAAACCAGGCAGGAAATCTGAACAGAGATATAGAGAGAGAGTAGGCAGAGTCAAAGAGACACCATATAGCTGCCAAAGGAGACAGACACCAGAACAGAACCTTACCCAGTAAGACTTTGGCTTACTGGGTAAGTCAAATTTATGGTGATACATAAATTAATAGAAATGGGTTAATTTAAGATGTAAGAGTTAATTAATAAGAAGTCTGAGCTAATAGGCCAAAAAGTGTTGTAATTAATATACTTTCTGTGTGATTATTCATGTCTTAGCAGTCAGGAAACAAATGAGTAGCCTCCATTTGCAAAATGGCACCTACCATCTGAGGCATGGATCCATATAAGACCTAAAAAAGCCTTAAAGTGGGGGGAGCTTCTAGACCCACAAAAATGGGAGCCAAGTTCAGTTTCTTGGTAGCTGCATTTTTTCAGATAGGCTCTGTTTGCTGGTGGTCAGCAGAGTTATGACTCCTTTAAGAGAAGGTTTCCTGGCTCAGCCAGCATTGGCAGTAAAAATTACACAGCTTCTTT